ATTCTGTTTTTGGTCAAAATATTCTCGGGAATGGAGATATTCATATTCGCTTCGCAAGTGGATGACAAGGTCCTGGGTAAGAAGGTGCTTGAATTCATCACCAACGACAGTTTCTTTGCGGAAGGGTTTCATGGGTGGATCAATAGGCTTAGCGGTTCCTGGGGTCTGGCTGTGTACCAGGCAGTCTTCAAGAAGGAGCCAGACATCGAGTGCAGTACTCGGTGTAACTGTGGTCGGCTACCTCCATATATGAAGCCCCGGTGCTATATCAATTATGATGGTTGGAAGCGGGATCTTTCGGTATCTCTGTTTGGCGACGTGAAGCTGTAACATAGATGATTCATCTGCCATGCACCACTTACGAGGTGTTGTTGCCCCGATATCATCACTGCAGAAAACAGTGCTACAGACTGGTAACGGTTACTGTCCATCTTCTTCAGGGATGGACCAGGCGAGATTCCCCATCACGCAGCAGTCGTACTTTCACACTAATCATGTGAATGGGAGTGCCAAATGCGGGATGACGTTGCCAGCGGCGGCAAGGTGTGATTCCTCTTCCTCTCCATCGTTCCGTTCAATTCGTTTGTATCTCTCGGAACACTACCTTCCAGCAGCACCAGTCACCTAATCTTCACTACAACATTCTCAGCATGTCCACCACATCCAACGCCTATGGCGATGCCTCCAACGAGACGGTGGATACGAAGACGAAGGAGTACAAGATCCACCCGTTCTACCGCTCTGGCAATGTCCACTTTATCACCACAGATGATGTGATTTTCTCTTGCGACATTGACCGCCTCGCAGAGATGAGGTGAGTCCTCAAGCTTCTCGAACAGCGAACGACAAAGCTAACAATCATCCAGCTCCTTCTTCCGCGACCTCAGCGAGATCCCGCAGCCCCCTGGCAAGAAAGCCACGACAACCCAAATGTCGGGCCAAGACCTCCACGATCAGCTCGCGCAGCTGTCAACCGAAGAACAGGGAGACATCGCCACACACACCGACGGCGCCGTCATCTTTCCCGAATGTGGCTCGGACGTGCTCGAGCCGTGGTTAAATCTCATTCTGCTTGCGGGATGAGTAGTGTTAACCTCAGTATATCACTGGAAGGGTGTGAGCAGCTGTACGTGTTGGTAGACAAGTATGGCTGTGACAAACGGGTGGTCGAGAGTCTGCGCTCGCAGATTCTGTTTTTGGTCAAAATATTCTCGGGAATGGAGATATTCATATTCGCTTCGCAAGTGGATGACAAGGTCCTGGGTAAGAAGGTGCTTGAATTTATCACAGACGACAGTTTCTTTGAGAACGGGTTTCATGCGCGGATCAAGAGGCTTAGCGGTCCCTGGGGTCTGGCTGTGTACCAGGCAGTCTTCAAGCAGCCAGAAATGGAGCCCATTATTTATTGTGGCTGTGGTCGGCAATCCACGTACTCGTATGGTTCGCCCCTGTGCTCTATCAATAGTGAAATTTGGTGGAAGCATTATCTTTCGGTATCTCTGTTTGGCGACGTGAAACTGTAACATAGATGATCCATCTGCCATGCACCATTCACGAGGTGTTGTTGCCCGATATCACATTTGGACGTTGCAGCTGTCTATCCCGAGTGTAGCGCGAACTGACGTTCAGCATATTACAGCTGGCTATGAGGGTCTGAGATCACAGATGATGACGATGGAAAAGGAGACCTAGAGAGTTATTTGACTTTGCATCACAAATGGACTACAAGGTTTTGGGGAAGCGGATTTTCGAAGATACCAGTGCAGGGCAATAGGGTGGTGGGCGTTGGGGTTTTCGGGGGTGTAGTGGCCACTGAGAGACTTGGGATCGTTTGCTCACTATTGCCTATATTGCATGGTTATACTGAGACAGGTCACAAGGGCAACAGCTTGGCTCATCTACAGAAGAGATATCGACGCCAGCCTACTTGGGTCCGCAGATTCCCACATCCTGACGTATATGTCCGTAGTCGTATTTTGTGTCAGGAAAGGTGCGGTGCGGGCTGACAACAGGCGGCCAAGGATGCCAGTCCTCGACCCAGGGATGCAATCGACAGATGCAGCAATGCCACAACCCCAGACTCCAGAGGGAAACGGGCTCCTCCCCAACCCAACCTCACAGCACCTCCATCTCCTGCTCCGCGCCGCACCCGAAACACCTCTGTACAACCTTTGTCGAGCCTTCTTCCTCGTCATAGACCTGTTCGACGTCTTCGTATTCGTGTACGTGCTGTGCGTCTTGTTTGCGTTGGTAGAGATTGTTTCTTGTACGTTTCCGTAAACTACCCTGCCATCAGCACAGCAAGAAACCGCCCAAGCTCGGACTCGGAGCGATGTAAAGATAACGCACTCTCTCAAACCAGCTTCAAACTTTTCCTCCCTCTTCCGCTTCTTGAACTCTTCCCTCCTCTCCCACTCTTTATCCAGCCCTTCATCCCCACCCCATTTATCGTATGCGACCTTTTCGACTTGGGCGCGCATGAAGAGCATCATGTTGCTGTAGTTGGAGGCGTAGGGGTTGGGGCGAAGGAGGTGGGGGATGAGGTCTTCGTCTCGGAGCTCGGGGTCTGTTAGGAGGTAGTCCTGTTCGCCTCGTCAGTCCAGACGAAGAGAAGGGGAGTGTGGGAAGGGAGGGGGGGACCTACCTCTTTACACTCTGTCTTTGTCAAAAGCGAATACTTTTCCGGCTTCTCCTTCTGACACTTCCGACACACCCTCACCCCAAACGTCTTTTCGAAAACATGATCAATTTCCAAAGACCCGCAATCCGCGCACTTTGGTGATCTCCCTGGTACGATAGCAGGTTCTTCGCCCTCACGGATTTGGCGGAGTTCACGTTCTTTCTCGGCGGCGAGCTCTTTGAGGGATTTGATACGGTCGCCGGTGACATCTTCTTCCGTCAAGAAACCGCCTCGGGAGTTCTTCATCTTTGATAGATCGTATTCAAAGTATTTGCCCTGCCTTTTCGTCAGCTTGCTACTTGGAATCTATCTTCAGAGGGGAGGGCTTACCAGTCCTGGATCCCTTCTCATCGGCATCTCTTCCCCTTTTCCATTCCCTTTCTCCCCATGTTTATCCCCCGCTCGGGCTTGATGCTCGACCATATTCCTCGCCGACGTCGGTACATTGGCCGGTTGTCGCTTGTTAACATACTGCACCCCCTGCCCAGGGGCGGACGCGGAGGAGGAGGGGGCAGAGGCGAGTTTTTGTTTGGCTTTGAGCCTGTTTAGGGCGGCGAGGCGGGATTGGGCGGGGGTGAGCTCGGACATGGTTGGCGGTTGGGGTGGAGAGGGGGATGAGGGGAGATGTCGATTTGGGTGGCGATCAGAAGAAGAAGTCCGAATAGTGGAGGTCGTCACCTGACGTAATCCTATGTTTGGTTACCTTCAAGATCGTGAACCTCCTCATGAAGGCAAATGGTTTAATGCTTTACCCTCCATAGTCTTAATATTCAGAGCTTATGACCATCTAGCTAGCCCATTTACCCGGGAGGAGGTTGTTGGAGCTGATCAAAAAACCACCGCCGATCTAGCAAGCCTTGTCGTCTTTGTTGCAGGACAGTGGAGGAGTGATGAGTAGCATATATGTTACTCGGGTGCAGATATCGTATAGGGATCTGGAAATCCCAGAGGCGGCCCTTTGCTCTTTCGTAGCTCTTTTGTGAGATATGCACAGTTCTTTCCCGGTCAAGTACTCAACTCTCGCTTATGTAATCACCCCGAACGATGATGCAGCAGCAGGAAGCCAAAAGTCAGCCATAAGTCGTGAAATGTATCTTCGACTCCATATCCTACTGCACGCCAGTCCCAAGTCTTACCCCCCTACCCCACCACGGCCATATATATGCAACCTCCGCCCACCGCCAACATCGCACGACACACAACACCACCACAAGTTCTACACCCCTCCGAGCTCGACCACATCATCGACCATGACTTTGCACACCTCCGCCTCTCCTCTCCGCATAACAAGTCGACTGGGAGAAAGTCGACGCCGGGGGGGAAGAAGGATGATAAGGGGAAGGGTGTGATACAGCAGGATAAGTGGAAGGGGAAGGGGAAGGGGAAGAAGAAGGTTTGGGAGGGTGGCGAGTGGTGAGTCTGACGCGCTCACGAACGTGCCGATCTGACGATTCTAATAGCCATCTGTTGAACCTCCCCACCGATGTCCTGCACGTCCTCCTAACTCGGCTCCCTCCCAGATCGCTTCTGAGACTGTCAGCAACCTGCACAGCGCTGAATGCGCATTGCAATAACGACACCGTCTGGCGGCATTCGTATATCAACCAATACTTTGGTGTCGGTGTTTCGAGAGATGCGGGCAGGAGGAAGGAAGTGGAGATACTGGCGAGGGGGTGTACCGGTATTGGAGAGAGGGGTTGGAAACGAGAATCATTGGAGCGGCTGAGGATGCTCGAGTAAGTCCAGCCTGACTGACTGTAGCTGACTCGAATGAAGGCGATGGCAGATCTCAAAATCCAGTATCGTCGTCCACACCCCTCCCACCGGGTTGATCCACTCCATCTCCCTCTCTTACCCTCCCCACACGCCTGCACCTTCCAAAGGCCTCACCGTAGGCAAAACGCGGAACAAACTCTCTCCCAAGCTTCTCCCCACCGACCAGCCTCATCACACCCGCCAAAAGGTGGACACTGTTCCGCCTTCTGTCACCCGGTCCCCGCCTTATTTACTCTCTGCCTCTCTGTTTGCAGGCGGAGTGGTCCGGTCCGACCCCATAACGGGTAAAGTCTCGAAAGGTTTCTGGGGTCCCTCGCGCGATTCCAACTTTCACCTCCGGCCCACTATCGATCCCTCACACGAACCTTCTTCCGTATATTTCCCAAAACGCTCGGGGGGCTTTGTCATATGGGGCCTGAAGAATGGAGGAGTCGTGTGGACGAACGTACAGACGCGACAAAGTGGGCAGGGGGGCAGGGGAGGGAGGGCGGTGAGTTTGAATGTTTACTCTGACCCTCGGGTTGGGCATGCGGGAGAAGTGAGGGATATTTGGACGGGCGGGCAGGGTGAGGATGGTGCGAGGTTCGTATCAGCAGGAGAAGATGGGCTCGTCAAGCTTTGGTTACTTGTCGTGCCCCCGGGAACGGGCAAGGGTAAGAAGAATACATTTGTGGAAGGTTCTCTCGAATGCCTCTTCACCTCCTCCCCGGTACCTTCGCTTCTCCCCAATCGGTCGGAAGACGTCAAGCGCCGGCAGAATGGCAGCCCCGACGCGATTGTCTTTGCGAGGTATACGTCCCATGGCGATATCGTAGCGGGCATCACAGCCGACGGAGATCTCCGCGTCTTTTTTGCCGCTTCTATAGCGCCGAAGGAAGTGAGGCTGGATCTGGGATCGGCAGAGGCGGAAGGGGAAGTGAAGATGATGGAGATGGTTTCCCATATCTCCCATATCCCCGAGGGCGGGGAAAGTGTAGCGTCTGTTGTGGTTCATCGACATCGGTCGAGTGTTGTTACGCGATACGACATCTCTTCTTCTGGGACCGTCGCATCGACGACCTTTGTTTCGCCGAGCCAAGCGCCTATCTCTTGTGTGTATACAGGGCTGCAAGCGGACGGGGGTATATCGCTGCCGAAGAGTGGGAGTTTGACGCCCATGTTGGCGCGGATCGTCTCGCCCTCGCCCTCGCCCTCACCCGTGCCCACGCCCGGGGCTATGGCTGGGACGGCACCACCAGCGATATCCGACCTCGACCTCTCCCTCGGCTCCGGCTCCGGCCCCGGCCTCAAGTCATCCGAAGCCGATAAGGGTCAATTCATCCTAGCAGGCGACGAAAACGGTCTCCTCCATCTCTGGTCCTGGAGCGCTGACGCCCACGCCCATCCCGATCCGGGGGAGAAGGAGAGGAAAGCCTTAAAATCATGGATGGTGCACGAATCCAAGATCACTGCTTTGGACGTTTCGTGCTCCATCTTTGCGGTGGGTACGGCAGATGGGTATATAAAAATACTCGATCCCCTCCCTTCCCCCTCCCCTCTTTCATTCAACGACGATAGCAATACCCACATCCTCCGTTCCTTCCACGCCTCCCACCTCTCCCCCGCCGAAACCCTCATAGCCACCACA